TATATATATATAAATACCACCTAAGGTTATGACAAGATATGGAGGATGTTAGCTCAAATCCCAACAGCAATATGGGTTACTAAAGAGAGACCCATCACCCTGCCTTTTAGAAGGTCTGTGTGTGAGGATCAAAGATAACAACCTTCATCATAATCTTAATAAACTTGAGTCTATACCCTTCATCTTGATTGAGAGATAGTGATACATAAATAATATTAAAAAAAGGCGGGCAGCCTCATCTATGTTTCTCGTAACTTAACGAATTTCCAACTTATGTGCAGCCTACTGTTTAGTGTAAGCATTCAAAGAGCAAATAAAAGCAAAAATGACTATTGTAGGACTAATGGAGAGGAAATTAGTGGTGCATTAAATATATTAGGATATTCTGTTGAAAATAACATTTAACCAGAAAATGTGTTTTAAATCTTTTTTAGAAACCATTTTTTAAGTGAATAGGATTAGAGCAAAATATTAACAATTTCACATAGACATACCACAATCCATTCAGCAATATTTTCATACAGTTCTGGGTTGAATATAGCCTTTTTCAATCGAGCCAAAGGACCATCAGCATCAACCAATCGGCATCGCATGAAGACATCACAATATCCTTTGAACTCATTGCAGGGTGATCCTGGCTGGAGAGTGATGGTTTTACCCTTGAAGAAACTTTTCCATATATCAGATCCAGTACTTGCACAGGTGAGAGGTTTCACTACAAAAAGACAATGCAATGAATATGCACAGATCTATAAACTTTTGGAATACCTTTTATTAGGTAAAAAACAGAATTCAGTTACTTGAACCAAACAGCAGTCCTTATTTAGTAAACGGACTTTAGTAACTTTAAATGAACCGTTAGGTGTGAGCACTTTAAACTTTGATGTTTTTCTTAGCACTGCTATACTAAATAAGCCTGATGGTGTTTTATATAGTCTACAAGGTTTATTTTAAAAAGGAAAACTACCTCTAAAATCTAATGTACTTGAACAACAAGCAATGTCGCAAAAAAAGTTGACATTTCCTTCCCTGTACTGTAAGAGCTGTAGTCACAGATCGAGGAAAAGGTTGAAATAGGATTTTTATATTGCATGTAAAACCATTTCCTTGGCATATGCTACAGGATGGCTATTCTGAAATCATGGATTTTACTGTCACTTCAAGGAGATTGGGCACTGGCAAAGCAAAGCTGCAAGCTGTAGCAAGAATAGACCATAAACTGATGGAATGGACACGTCTTGTAACGTACTCCAATTAAATTTTACAGGTAAAAAAAAAATAAAAATTTTTCGTAACCTTATATTACAGGACACAGGTAGTCAACTCTGGAACCATGGGATGTCCGACAGCAGTTCAACTGATGGCAGGCAACACATCCTTCTAGGCCACTTCGGTGTAGCAAGAATCACCAGAATGCTATCCATCTTGAACCTGTGGCGTAGGGGAGGAAGAAGCTTTAGCAGGAGAAAGGCCCCGCAGTCAAAAAACAACCTAATTGCCCAGAGCTCCAGAAAACTGATTGTGAGCCTAGCCACCTCAGATGGCCAACTCCCTGGTATTCAGAGGGTATCTAGGCCTCCTCCCCAGCCTAACAGGCTGGCATTCCTGATGAGGACCTTCCAGACCATCAGGAGAAAGGATTTCCCTGATTCCAAGGGCCGGAAAGAAAATCTGTCAGGGCACGCCTGGTCTTTGTTGGTCCGGAGCTTGGAGCGATAAAAAGGACAGGGCCTGCATGTCCAACGCTGCAAGAATGTTGAGCTGCAACAATATGGAGTGAAGCTAGGCATATGGGACTGCCTCAAAAGGGCCACCATTAGGCCCAGGTCCCTCAGTCAAAGTGAATGGTTGGACAGAGACTCCTGTACCATAGGGTCCAAAAAACAGCAGTGAATACACTGGAGTTTGTTCAGGAAAAGGAAGCCCCTGAACAGATCTAAGCGATGAGTTAAGATTGACATATTTAAGATCCACCCGATCCTCTATAGGGGCAGCACTGTCCATTGGACATTTTCTGACAGAACCCAAGCTAACTGTCCCCTCAGTAAGAAATTGTCCAAATATCTCATAACTGGGACACCCCGAGACTGCAGCAGAACAAGGAGATAGCACCTTGTTGAAGAGGTTCTGTGGACAGGCCAAACGCAAGGAGAAAAACTGTTAATGTTACGTGCCCACAGCAAAATACAAGTAGTGTTAGTGTGTTGGGAAGAGGGAGACATGTGAGCAGATGTCTCCCTTGTGTAGATGGTTGCGAAAGCCAACAGATGTTCCCTAACTTGTGACAAGGAGAGGAGGACTTGTTTAAGGACTTGGAAGTCCAGGGCCTGAGAGAAACTATAGATGCTTCCTTGTCTTAGGAGTAGAGGGTATCCCAAATGGAGATTTTGCCTTCTTTTTCAGGAGCATAATGATCAGTCCAGTGTTAATGAATAATACTGTTCTTAATGTCCAGTGACTAGCCAAGAGGCATTCCCCATCAAAGGGCATACGCAAGTGGTGTACCTTGCACCACTTGCAGACACAATATTTGAACCAAAGGGTCTTTGAGTGTGTACCGAAAGGAGGGCAGTTCTGGTTACTAGGCGAGTAACATTCGCTAAGCCATCAAAACAGAGTAGGACCACAGGCATGAGCAACAAGTGAATAGATGGGGGGACCTGTTAGGCTAGAACCAGGATCCTGAGCCATATACCTAAACCAGATGGCTAAAGTCTGGCAGAGTGAATTTGTAGCAACAGCAGGATGCAGAGCAGGGCCCGCAAGAGAAAATAAGTCCTTGGAAAGGGCCTATTAACCAAAGGAGCCATAAATACTGAAATGTCCTGTACAGGGAAGATCAGAGTCTTAAGACAGAAAATGGCTGGACCCACTATGGTTACAGCCACCTTGTTGAAGGGACTCCTCGCACGTGTTTTGCCCAGCAATAACCTGTTGAGAAGTAGGGATCTCTTCAGAGTGCACAGGAAAATTGTTAAGCTGGGGTCCTTTAAGAGAACCCAGGCTGGCAACCTTCGGCATGGCCAATACAAGTTGGTCCAGGTACGGACAAGTATGCACTGTATAAATAAAAAACGAAATAGTATCCTCAAGTATAGGATAGGAGTTAGTGTCAGCAGACTGAAACTCCTCATGTACCAAGACATAAAGACAGAAAAGGTACATTCCCCATGATCCTCAGATGAACGTGCAGAAAAAGCTGCAGATATGGGACTACATACAGGCTCTGGAGGAGAGGGTGTGGCAGCTCCCATGCAATGCACCCCATGTTCCGAATTCAGCCAAGGTTACTGGAACTTCCTCCCTGAACGCAGACCATACCTGGACAGTGGTTAAGGCAGTTGGTGTCAGGCACTTTATGAGGTACACTGCAACCCACCCCTGAACTCTTAGTGGATCATAAACCGAAAACCAGCATGCCCCTTGCCATTATGATCTGCCAATCTGCAAGAAGTTGAGGCAGAGCTAGAGATGCAGAGGGGAACGCGTGTCAGATGTACTGCGGCCCTTGCGGAAATACCGCATATGTAAATCACAGCTCTTAGTGTGCCCAATAAATGTGATAAAAGCTCCCCGACAACAAAAACAATGCATCACAGCATATACAGGGCACATGTAACATACTAACATACTAGAAAAAAAAAAGTGTCACTACACCTCAACAGAGTGTCTGCAACATGTTTAGAAAGTGTCCTAGCACAGGGGACGATCCTAGCACCTGAGACGATCCCTGAAAGGAAACCCACAAGGAGTGCATGCTCACAAGGAGCAGAACAAGCTACATACTCACTCATGGTGGTCAAGAAGACTGCAGTCCCAGCAGGGCATCCAGAACAAACCAGACAGATTTTGCCCCTTTGACGGGCATACTCCTGAAGGAGGAGTCTTCAAGGACATGGTTACACCAGGCGGTTGTACCACGGCCACTGTCCTGCACAGCACCCTGCGTTAAGCTCACCTTGAACCTAACACAGAGAGCATTGCCCGGAGGGCAACATTTTAGGCCAGCCCTGCATCTTCTTCCTAATAGACTCCAGGCACAGTCCCTCAAGGCGTCAACTGATTCAGATACTGCAAAAAATAAATAGCTGAGAAACATTACCACAACAAAAAGCAAAGTGGTTTGCTTCTCTCAGAGTAGGGAGAAGATGTCCGTGCTCCCAAGGACACTAAAACTGAGGCTTGCTGTGAGTGGGAGGGGTTATACTGGACTGTTCTTGCATCTTTACCAGTGTCCAAACTCCTGAAGTTGGCATGAAAACGTATGGTTTCAAAATTCCATCCTATGTTCTGCAGTGTACGATTAAGAAAATGTCCTTGTTCACAATCAGTGCACATGTATGCAGACCAGGACAGAGCACATTCTACCTACAACAGCTGGCCATCAGTAATCACCTGTTGGAGGGTGTGTGCAGGACATTGAAGGAGGCAGCCCATGAGTTTAGCAAACAGTTTGAGATCTTTTACTCAAGTGACAACATATACTACACCAAGAAAATTTATGGATCTTGGCATTGAAGTCCATAAATCAAATATGTTTGTAGAGAAGATTTCTTTCATGGCCGGTCTGTAAATATGCCGCTCTTTACTGCACAGTGCAGCCGGTAAAAAGCTACAAAGCAAAGTTTGCACTGGTTTGTTCCTGTAATTACAGCTCTCTGAAGTGAAGGTGTGCAAAACTGGTAAATATGACAAACAAGATTATTGCACAAACCATATGTAAATCAAACAAAAAACAAATCCGAACACATTGGACATTATTACGGTTACAAGTCTCCCAGGTACCAGATCCTTGCGCTGAGAAACTGAATGGTAGAATCAGACTGAGAAACTGAATGGTAGAATCAGACTTGTCACTTTAAACAAGATGCACTTGCACATAGTTTATAAGTTTGTTTTATTTTTTAACAAGGCCACGGTCTAAGATGCTAAGGCTGCTGGTGGCAGCACCTAACTGCCCAGGCATTTTTAAAGATCAGCTACCCCATCTTCTAATTTTTACTCATGAGCTCATATACTCTAATGTCCTGCAAAGCATTGTTCACTCCCTGCTACTTTAATTTGGTCATTATTAGCGGGGAGCAGCAACTAAGTCCAAACACATCCCCGCATCCACGCCCGCCCTCTCTTTTCATGGCCACAAACGTTCCCCACCCTCTGCATGCACTCTGGGGTGAGGGGCAGAGCAGAATAGCTTCTTCTTGAGAACTAGTAAAGCTCATTAAAATTGAAAGTCAGGCTTCTGATTTTCTGTATAACAAATGACTAGAGAGACTAGGAGCGTTGCTAAAAACATGGATTAGCACTGCATTTGGATACTAAAACCCTATAGTACTACTTGACATGGGCAAAGTACTAATGTTTCAGAGTAAGTGATAGCTGGACAACAATACCTGTCAAGCAATCATTTATTACTATTACTATCATCACCAATTGCAATCATTGTTTCTTGAACTACTAGGAACATCAATGTGGGCAGCAAAGATAGAGCTCATCTTTCTTTGAAGAGATGAAGAACTTTGTTCTGGACAGATCTATATACAACCACAAATTGGTGGCATGTTTCCAGCAATATCTGTTGTGTAGTATAATAAAAGAAACTCACGTTTTTCCATGCAGCAGACATGACACAGCTCTTTATCATCTTTGCCATCAGTACTAGCGCATGTGCACTCTTCAAGGTCATACTTTTCACAGATGGAACCTGCACATTGCTGTAGACACAGGTAGAGGATATTACTAAAAACAGTCATTCTTAAAAAAATACAAAAAACAGCTACTATTGTTTTACTTGAATTGTTTGTTTTCTAGAAACATCTCTATTCCTTCAATTTCTTTTATCATATAAACAAACATCCGCACCCCCCCAAGTTTTCTGTGCCAGATATCAGCTTATCAGACTATCAGGTTACAAAACTATGTCTGATTACCTTTATGTTTCCATGATAATCTAGTGGGGGTATGATTTTGTTCCCACCTTCCCCCCCTTCTTCGTAAGTGAAACCAAATAATCCCTTAAGCCAGGGATGGCCAAACTGCAGCCCTCCAGCTGTGGTGGAACTACGAATCCCATGAGGCTTTGCACGATTCTCACAGCCCAGACATGACTCCCAGAGAGAGATGCTGCATGGGATTTGTAGTTTCACCACAGCTGGAGGGCTGGAGTTTGGCAATCCCTGGCTTAAGCCAACAATTGTGTTTAGGGCTGTGTGTGCCAGGGGACAGGTGTTTAAAGTCATCCAGATCAAGCATTCACAACCAATCACTCTTTATTGTCGATGATCAGGATCTTCTACAACTAAAACCCACAAGGTAATGCTCCTCACTTTCTACAAATAGCTGCGTTCACACATCAATATTTACCCCTTTGATGCAGACTTGGGTTTGACGGTTACACTCTGTTAAATTCTCTCTAGGCTCAGATGGTGGACACTGTGCAGAAAAACCATTGCAAATTCCCATTTGTGCACAGTCAGATTCATCACGGCATTTCTGAGAGCGGTCCTTGAAGGAGCACTGTGGTGTACAACAGGGACCTTGGCTAGGACTGAAAACACAAATACCAATCATTAATGTTATAGGATATCGATGATAGAAAATATTAAAATCTGGTATGAAAATATATCTATCTATATATAGATATATCTATATATAGCGCATCAGCCCATCTTGTCACATACCTTCTTACTCAAGCATATAACTCCTTGCATCACAGTAAACATTTGTGGAGATCTCACCGATAGGTCAGTGACTTGGTCATTCCAACAAAGTATTTACCATGTTTAAGATCAATCAATCTATTAACTGTGATCGAAATCTGTTTGTGTACGGTCTTATTGCAGCACAGGAATTTTATTACACTGGTACAAGTTTCAGCAGAGGAATTAATTTGCTGTAGTGACAAAAACAGGATTTTTGTTTTACCTGTAAAATGTTTCTTGGAGTACATCACAAAACACAAGGAGTTAAATTCTTTAACCACTAAGTAGGGATGCACAGATAGCAGTATTTGTGCCGATACTGGGCATTTTCACAAGTACTTTAAAATACATTCGGCTGCCGTAGGGTCCTGCATTTGCTTGGGACAGTGTGGAAGCCTTGTGGGGACCTCGTGGCAGCCGTTTACAGCTCCCGCCGCACATTTCCTCCTTTTCCTTTCCGCCGTGCAGGGCCCGGTGACACCCCACACACAGCCCTGGTCAAATGGTATTATTCTGCATTGCTTTGTAGCCTTTGGTCAAGACACTCTAAACCCAGATGTTCGGAATGTCCCGTTCCCAGAGAGCTGAGAGGGCTGATAGACATTCCCCCCCCCTTGTAAAAGTGGAGGTGTCCCTTCACTAGGAAGAGGGCTCATTCGCAGACTTTGAGGGCTTGAAGGACTAGATCTTATTACAGAACTGTATGCACTGCTTGGGCTTGGAGTCTGAGGCCTGGGAAGGACAAGATAAACTTTTCATAAAAGGATGGAACAGAAGATCTTGCTACTGGTGGCTTTAACTTCTTCTGAGATAAGAAATTACTTTGCCCTCTGTGACTTCCTAGATGCAAGTACCTAAGGAATTGCTGAAAAGGTGTGCTCCAGCAATAGGGAAGGTGCCTCCTACAGGGGAGCTCATAAGGCCAGAATTTAAGCTGGTCTGTAGGGCATTGACAGCCCATTTCTTAAGGAAGCCATCCTCAATATGGGCAAACAATTTTTCAGAGTGATCCCAGTCACCATACAATACAGACTAACTGCAAGTGTGCATGGAAAGCATTAAAGTCTCAAGGAGAGCAGCCATTTTTCCCATAAAATCAGCCACAACAGCGGTGAACTCCTCTCTAAACAATAAGTGAATTGAGGGTGTTCTATAGGGTGCAGAGACCACTTCCTTATCAACCAGTGAAACTGACAGTGGGCGGAGCCATGTGGGGTTGCCAAGGGACTAGTTTCCAATCGGGTCCACTGTGCTACTGGCTATTAGCTGGGCAATCCACTCACTGCCTGCTGTCAAACACAAGGGAGGCAGACCTGATGGAGAACTAGTCTGAGTGCCCGATCGGTTTCTGCTTACCCACAGCACAAGTCCTCGGCCACTGCACTCTGGCACAAACCTTAGTAAAACGCAGTCTGATTTTATCAAGACTCCACGTAACCGAACTGCACTGAGGACGCAGTGCTCATGATCACTCTGGCGTCAGTGAGCCTTTGCACTGCAAATAGTGTTTATTATGGAACTGATCATATGCTGTTCCATAATAAGTACCAGAATAATTAGGTTGTTCAGCAATTAATCTGTATGGATAACAACTAACTTCTGTAAGGGAATGAATAGAGAAAACACTGTCAGAGATTTTCTTTTGCTGTGTAATTTATCTGAAAATTCCTAGCTCTATATTTGTGTAAAACATATACATAAAGTTTGTCATTCTGCATTGCCTGAGAAAAATGATTAAAGATACATTTCTGGAATTACCTCTAACAGGATTCCAAAACAAGAAAAGTATGCCTTGTTACCACCAAAAAGTGTAATTTACAGTACAATATAAAAAAGTAGCCACAACGATTAGAAGTCTTTAGCGACATCAAATCCTGACATGCTGCAGTTCATGTCAGGCTCAGTGTCACTAAGGTTATTATTGGCTGTCGCTGAGTTTGGGGCAGCCAAATAATAACCAAAAATTAATTAAAATTATCAAGCAGTCATAGTGACATCCATTCACTATGTACTGGCTTGTCAATTATATCAAGCAGTCAAAACACTGGCTTGTCATGTCCCCAATAACTGACAGCGAGAGAAGTATTCTGCGCAAGTGGTGCTTTATCTAACAAATGCATGGGTGCCAATATTTTTGGCCATCACTGTATGTATGTTTAAACATACATAAGCACATACTATTATAAAAATGATCCCCTCACAATGAAAATCTGCTGCGGAGATGCAGTTTTGTTTTTTACCCTAAGGGTTTTTTTTTTTTTATTTAACCCCTGATGACAGCGATGTTCAAAGTATGTGACTGTACACTGCAAATTGCGGCCGGTTTTTGAGGAAGCAGACAAAATTTGCAGTGTGAGAGGCTGTCTTGCTCCCTTTCGGCCAGCATCCCTCGATCAGCTGATCGAAGGAGCCTGCCAGAAAATTTTTGAACAATTAGAGGTGGCAGCCAATGAGCTGCCTCTCTGGGCGGGTATTCTGTCAGGTGCCGGCAGCCGATGTATGCAAATGGGGATTCCTCGATCGACACGCTGTTGGGGGATCGGGTCTATTTTCTATTATATTCCAGGTGACAACTATTAGCTTTTTGGCAAAAAATTTATTGAAAATGTTAGCTTTCAGTTTTAGGCTGAGAAGCACAAAAAAAATATGAAATCCTAGGCATTTAATGTGTTTCCAAAAAAATGACAAATAAATGAATTTATTGAGATGCATTTTTTTTAGCTGTGCTATTTAAAAAAAAAAAAAAATCAAAACTGGGGAAAAAGTGTTTTCTTGAGGCATTAGGCTGCGATATAGAAATATATAGCCCTATCTGTCCCCTAAAAAAACATATATAATATGTGTGGGTGCACTCAGTAAGAAAGTATATTACTGCTGTGGAAGAATCGCACAGCAAAAATCTAAAAAGTGTGTCATTAACGAACAAAAACTGGAAGAAAAAAAACAAAAAGCATGAAGGTTTTAAATATTTTTGGAATACATGAAATCTAAATGATTTTAAATTAAGCTGAAAACACAGTTCTCAGAAGGAGCAACAAACTGCTTTTAAATTAAAAAAAAAAAGCCTTTCAGAAATATCAGAAATACACAGTGAATCATTTGGTTGGCCAGATGAAGAGGTTTAATCAAAGATCAGAACAGAGCAGATGAATGATCTGAGCATCTGCCAATGGAATAATGATTACTATGAGGTGTGAGGTTGCAGCACCCCAGAAACCACTACAGTCAAGAGTTTACAGAGAATTATGTGAAAAGCAGAAAAAAACATCCAGCAATAGGCAGTTTGGTGGACCAAAACCCCTGGGTAATGAGAGATGTCAGAGCAGCATGGTCAAACTTGTTCAAGCAAGGCAGAAGTTCATAATTTATTAACCATTCCTTACAACAGTAGTGTGCAGTGTGTCATCTTTTATCATACAACTTGTTAAAACTTGAAGTTGAATTAGACAGCAGATCACATTAGGTTCCCTGCTGTTAGCTCACAAAATGTAAATTAGACAACAGCAGGAACAGGATTACCAAAACTGGAAAACCAAAGAGTGGAACTATTTGGCATGCTCAGCATACATCCATAGATCCACATTGTATCATTAATTGTTTGGGCTAGTGATGATGTAATGGTTTTGGGAAGGCTTTTACAGGTTGCGACCCTTAATAAATGAGCATTACTTGAACAAGATAGCACACCTAAGTACGCTGGGCACCTTTTTTTTGGGCACTGGATAGTACTAGTACCTAAAAAAAAAAGGTAGCCAATGTGTATAAGAATTATTCCTCATGTTTTGTACAAAATATTTTTTTTTTCTATTAAAGAAAAATTACTGCACAACATAAAGCAATCAGATTGTGTATAATGAATGTAAAATGTCATGCCCAACAATTTCTATCAGAATATGGAAATGGGAACACTTAATCATACTGACAGCTCAATGCCAATCTGTAGCTATAGTCTCCTCAACAGAATTCTAATCTTTGTACAGCCGTTTTGTTGCCAAAGTGATTGGCTTATTTATAAAGACACGTACCTGCAGTGTTTCCCGGGCTTTAATTTGCATTTCCGGTCTTCTGGCTCATTTGCATTGAAGCAGCATTCATCTTTACACTGGTCACTGTAACCACAATCACACTCCTCTCCTTGTTCCACAAGCCCATTACCACATATAGGCTGGCCAGACTCTGTAACACATGATCACATGAAACAGCTTTAGACAAAGTGCAGTCATTCTTTTTGCCTTCCTCCCCTGACCTAAATGGTCACACACTCAACCTTTCGCACATCCAAGACTGATTGAGGGTCAGACATGAATGTGATACCTGCTTAGATTATTTGTGTGTATCTATCTATCTATATTTTTCATATATTCATTCCACATCACTTGATAAAGCGGACATCTTAGTCTGACTAATATCCTAAATATCCCCACCATGTCCACTAACATTAGAATCATTTAATCCCCTTTTGAATAGGAGTTGCTTATAATCAATTAGTAGCACCAACAAGGGTATTATCAGCAAGTAAATGTATAATACTCAAACATATTTTGCCGTAAGAGCTACACTTGGGCAGTATTTTATTGTACAAATGAATCTAGTACTTATGTCTTTGTATAAACAAACATGATTTCTATATAAAATTTTAAGTTAGGTTTATCACTGCAGCACCTGGAAAGTCACCAAAAACTATTTTGCTTTTTTTGTGTTTGGTACTTTGGCTATGTATAGTCTGGCTTCTAGAAACCAGAGCCCCATAGCTTAGGCTTAAGTCGGGGCTCTATAATAAATTGGAGCTTACATTATATACATACTACTTCATTAGAACAAACGTACATACCAACAAAACAGTAATTCCTTTTCTTATCCAGAACCTGACTGATATTTCGGACACTACAGAGAGAGAATTTGTTGTTGTTCAGTTTGTCCCCAGATGTAGCTCTGGCATACATGATAAAATTGCCATGCTCCTTGAATCCAACATTCTTTGACTCTCCTGGAGTACATTCAGAGCCAGAATCATGCTGTAAAAATAAAAAATATGAGGTTTTGTTTTTTTGTAGCAAAAACCAAGAAAAATACAGACTATGTATGTATGTATGCTTCCTAAGTGAGAAATCCTCATTCTAAATTGGCAAAACGCTTTCCTCCAAAGCTGGTGGGTTAACCTAGTTTTGCAGTGCAAGAGAGAAGTGAAAAAGCCAAGAATGCAGGG